GGGGGGGGGAAGTTGGGCGCACGTTGATTTTGACATAACTTTTATACAAAGAATGCTTAAAAAGCTCTTAAAACGAATAATTAATAATAATAGGTTCGATGTAGAGACTTACTTACAGTCACTAAAGAGTTGGTAAGATTAAATAGCAGAAAATGAAAGAGACAATCGCTCCTTCAATTGTTCTCACATCAAGCAACCTTTTTTCAAACCAAAAAAAAAAAAAAAATCTGCCTAATGAACTAAGAGGTGGCAGAATTGTCTACGAGGATGGCTTTGCCTCTAATGGATCTGTCTTCGCCGGGATCGCTCATCGACCGAAGCAGCGGCGATTCTGAAGCCCAAAATCCTGATACAGTAATTTATAATATAATAAATTAACGGTTAAGAAATTTGTTCGAGTAAAAATGAAATTTTTAGGATGGATAGTGAAGTAGGACCTTTTTCTGAATGAAAAGATTTCTTGCAGTGGGCGATAGCGCTCTGGATTCCATCTTCCTGTTGCAGATGCGAGTCATCGTGTCTAGGCGTCACCATCGGCGGCGAGCAGACGTATGCCACGGCTGAAGAAGCCGACCGGCTCTTTCTTAGACGACCGGGAACCACCTTAAGCCTGTATGGAAGGTTATTTGTTGTAAGCGATGGCTTCCCCTTGTTCTGTTTATTCGCACCTGCAGCTTGGGCAGCAGACCCATCCTTGTTCGAGCCGGCCGGTGGCCTTAAAAATCGCAGCTTTAGGACCTTTACATACAAAGGTTTGATCTTGCTGATGTAACGAAAGATAACATCCTTGTAAATTAGCTTTTTCTCCTCTTTCATGAATTTTATAGAGGTGGATGCAGAATTAGAGCGGCTGCTGTTGGAGCTAGAACGAAACATGAAGACTCGGAGCTTTGTTGCAGGCTTGATAACAGAAGCAGGGAAATGGAGCTTGGAGTTCGGCTCAGAAACTGCAGGGGAGAACAACAGGGAGGAAGGAGAGGAAGAGAACTCGAGAGCGAACGAGCGCCCGTTGAAAAGAATCTCTTCTGCTAAAGAAGCGGAAGAAGAAGAGGAAGAGGGCCTGTGACCCATGAAAGAAGAAGTGTTCATCTTAAGCTCTACAGGGACAGAGAACTCAAGATCAAAAAAGGGGCCTTCGTCGTCGATACCTCCGCCGGCACCATAGTTTTTGTCGGCAGGGAAGCAGTGGGTGAAGGTGGGAGCGTTGGTGGTGGGGGCTATTGGGTCGTCTCCGCTCCTTCTCAGCTTAAGCAAGCCAAATACTTCCATGGCGAGGGGAGAAGGGAGTGACAAGAAGACAAACTCTTGCTCTGACGTACGTTTATGGACTGGGAGCGGGTGAAGTCGACCGACTTCTTAGTTTACAATGCTTTCCTGGCTGATAAACTCTCAGGGCCATTATTTATGTGTATGGGAGTTAAAGGTGCGAAGGCCGGGGAAACTTCATGCGAACAGAGAACTTTCCGAGGCTTAAAATAGATCGGAATTGTTGGAAATTCGAGTTTGGTACAACTCAAAGTTGCTTCTTAACGGATAAATTATACATGGGGCTGTTAAAATAGGGGGATTTACATGCATATAATTCAAATACCAAAATTTATATATCTAACACATTAAACATATTATTTATTATTGAGCCCAAATCTGTCTTTTGGCACAATGAGCGCCGAATCTGAGTTAATAAAAAAGAGAATGAGAGAAGGAGTTGCCCCTTGGGGGGTAAAGATTGGTGTTTCCGTAGCTCAGCGAGGGCCTGTTTTTAGGCTATACATTTAAATATCCAACACCCTAAACTCATAAATGCATCAGAATTACCATTTTTTGTCACTTACTTTACCGTCCCTAAACTTCTTGATCCACCACTCAGCCAAAATGTGCATGTGTGTTCTGAATGACTCCCAATGATTGCAAATCTAAAGCTTTGTTGGTTGGTTGGCAAGGATAAAGAGAACTTCGACAACGAATGAAGTTGATCGATTATGAGGTGAGTGACAAAAAATGATAGTTTTGATATAATTATGAGTTTAGGGTGATATGTACGTAAATGGTATGTTTATGATGTTAGATGTGTTAATTTTGATGTTTAAGTGGTATGTATATAAATCCCCCTTAAAAATATACGACAACAACAAGCTTTTATCGCACTAAGTGATGTCAGCTACAAGAATATTTTTTCTCCATTACGTCTTATTGGTGTGTCATATTTTTCATTTAATTTTAATAGATTAAGTTCATTGTTTTTACATTATGTTCAAGTTTTTGTAAGTCTACCCCTGTCTTTCTTAACATTAGTTGAACCTAGCTAAAACATTCACTCTCCCAATTGGATCATAAGATAGTCAGCGTTTAATGTGTCAAACCATCTAAGAGGACTCTCTTTATTCTTATCAGCCACTAAAGCTACATCAACCCTATGACATATACTCATTTCGAATTTTGTCTTTGTTGTCAAGCCACTCATCCGCTCAATCATGCTCATCTCAGTAACACTTAAATATTTTTTTTATGTTTCTCTTTTAAAGGCAAACATTCTACATCGTAGGGTATTGCAGGTTATAGCACCATCTTATAAAATTTTCCTTATTAAGTCTAAGCAGGACTTTTTTATCACACAATAGGCTCAATGCTTTTCTCCACTTCAAGCAACCAACTTAAATTTTAATAATGACATCCCAATCTATATCACTATCACATTAAACAAAGAATTCAAGATATTTAAAATGTTGACACCTTTTAATGATTTGATCACCCATGATTACAACTGTCACTAGAGCTATTGCTACTAAAATTACATTCCATGTATATATTTTTAGATCTACTCAAATAAAGACCATTAGAATACAATGTGCTCCTCCATAATTCAAGTTTTTTCCTGAACTTATTCTCTAGTCTTGGCCACAAGAAGGATAACATCAACGAAAAGCATACACTTGTTGGACCTACCGTTTTGAGTTGGATGCAAGTCTCGTGTGCATTCCTTCTCACCCCCTAGGATTGGATATGAATTAAGGAGTTCTCCTCCTGAGGGTCTTTTTGGTCACTCAGGTTATGTGGATTTCTTAACTGACATTGGCTCAATCAAAAGTTGAGCAGCTTCCAACAAATGCATTGTGCCTTAACGACGCATCACACTTGTTGGGGTCTCTTTATTGGCATCAATTTTTTATGTCACATGTGTAAGAGTGTCCTCTCAACTAGTTCAGGATGAGTCAATGCTCATTAATAGTATCTCGTAGTTCAAGGCACCCATTTGAGACCTCCGGAAAAAATTTAGAACACAAAGTTAGGGTCTGCGATGATTCATCTATGTCGGGAGAATCCACCATTCAACAGGCCTACTTAGAAATTTGGACATGTTTGATGTCTGTTTCAATGTTTAGAGGTCTCTATGTATCCAATCAGAGGCTCCACGGGGTCAAGGGTAGTCACAGAGCCCTCCAACGTATACTACGGAAAATTCTGTGTGAGATAGGGTTTAGCTTGACTTCAGATGAGTTTTACATTCTCTATAATGTTGAAAGACTCAAATCCATCAATCTAGACTCTTCTTAGGCCAAGGGTAGTCATTAGGAGTCCCCACACACATTTTAGAGAAATTCGAGTTTGGACCGATTTTATCACCGCGGGGTCCGGGGCGCTCGTTGACACAAAAAAACCCTTGCTTGAAATCCCTAAAATGTTCATTATGAGTTAAGTGGTTGTATTTCATTGATACACAATTTTTCATGATCTCTGGATTGATGAGAACCTTCCTACGGTCAACCAAGCAAAAGTTAGGGTTTGGAACACCCCACCCGCACTATAATCCGGAGATGACTGTTAGCGATGTTTTCTCTGATAAAAGACCATTAAAAATACATATTTTTAAGGTTAAGGGGTTATATTTCATTCATGCTTGGTCCCCCATACCTTATGAATCAGGAAAACTCTCTATCAGACGATCGAAGCAAAAATTAGCATTTTTGCACCAGACCGCCTAGGCGCCTGAAAACTACCTCTGAAACCTCTAAGCTGAGCTCCTGGAAGTATGACTCCGGTTCCTGGAGCCTAGGTGTCATTTGTTGGCAGCTAGGGGCTCAGGAAATCTCAAAAAGAGTATTTTTCTTGAGCCTTCAAAAAGTTGTCTCCACTTGGGTGGAACCTATGTGTCAAAGGCCTAACGCAATGAACGCGAACAAAGCGCCTAAGCACCAGTTTTTTTTTTTTTTTTCAGATCGTGAAAAGCCTATTTTTGGTGTCAGCTTGAGCCCGACATGCCTCCCTAGGAAGCTAAAATTGCAGGATTACCTCAGACTTAGAGGATATTTGCTTTGGGTATGGGAAAAGAGCATAGATATACTTCTTTTAGGACTCTTTTGAAAGTTTCCAAGAAGGCTTAGCAAGGGCATTTTTGGCAAATGGGAATAGGATAGTTGTTCTAACCCCTAATCTCCGCCATTTTTAAAGGGAGAATTTCCTCTCATTTTCATATTTTCTTTGTCCGAAGCTTTAAGAGCTTGAAAGGTTAAGGGAGAACGCTTTTTCTTCCTTTGGAACCAGTGTTTCTTCTTAAAGGACTCGAGATGGAGAGCTTTGGAAAAATGTGAGAGCGAGAGCTTCTACTTCCCCTTTCATTTCATCTCTTCTACAAGAAACTCTTTTTCCTCCTCTTTTCTTCCTCACCTCCATCATTTTCTTTCACCACTTACCTTGGGTGTGTGAGGAAATTTCCATGAGGAGAAGGAGTTGGATAGCAAGGGAGCAAGGTTTCTTCTCTCCTACACTAAAGTAGAGCTTCATCCCATCACGAGGAAGGATCATCGGAGCACCGCCAGAACTTCATTGGAATCTCATCATACTCTCTTTATAAAGGAGGGCTTCTTCGTTTGGGGAAAGAGAGGAACGGACCTTGCCGAAG